AGGAACCGAGTCAAGTCTTCAAAGCAATCCGGAATTAACATCGTCTTTTTGCACCTAGGTAATAAGCGAAAGCAATAGAAATACAAGTTTGTTGAAGACGGATGCAAATGCAAATTGAAACGTTTCGCTTATCAATTAGAACTGGTAGTATACATAGGAAAGAGGTTCTTAACACCATCGTGTCTTTTCGCATTGATAATGATCAACAATTAGCAGATAAAAGTTTTCCAACTTATATAATTTAAATATAGTTAAAAACGGATATAGAGTGTTCCATATGTAATCTGTATACGCTGGAAAAGCTTAAAGAACCGTTAAAAACAGATGACCTTGAAATGACAGACACTTCCACCTACATCCAAATGAGAATTTTAAGTTCCAAATTTTGAATTTAAATTTCTAACCTCAAACGAAACATTCTGTACACTATTTACCTAAAAACATTCACTGAGAGTATTAAAAACGTTCTGCGAAGAATAAGGTACTCGTATCAAAGGGAAAGGTTAATTACTCGCACATAAGAACCACCGTATGCATGGCACAATTATACTAACATATTTTTCCATACTTCCAGTATATCCCCAGAAGCAACAATATGCTTATGCCGGCTACCCGGCACCTGCCGCATATCCAGGACCATACTATCACGGCTCGCAATACGGACCATACAACTACTGAAGGGAACCCGCGTCATCTTTATCGACAGAGGAAAGAGTCTTGAGCGCGGAGCGTGAGACGTGCTCGCAATGAACAAAACATAATCTGGCAAGCGATGTTTCCCAGGGGAACGATAAAAAAAAAAGAAAAAACGAAACGAACGAGACAAAAAACGAAGACTCTGAGTGGCCGATCGTAAATCCCAAACCAAGCCTGCGCGACCAGAGAAAAAAAAGAAAAAGGAAAGAAGGACGACCTTGGGACCCGCCCTAGACATAATTTATCATTTGTTTTAAAACGCCATGCTACGGACGTTCTGGTGCATATCCGCGGGTCCCACGATCGTCGATCTCCATTTCTCTTTCGGCAGGTGTCCGTTTAGTATACGATCGCTCGAACAAGATTCAGTTTGACTCGCGAGAGAGAGAGAGAGAGAGAGAGACAGTTTGCTCAAAAAATCCGCGTACATACTTAGAACTGAGATGACCCTATATATATATATATTTTTTTTTCTTTCTCAAATCTGATATTTGTACTGTATTACCTTTCGTACGTGCTGACCGTGCTAGGACAATAATAATAGTACTGGTAATAGTAATAATAATGAGTTTACGAACGTGGGAGGAATACTCGGTTGTTTGTTGCATTTTTGATTGGCTACGTGATCTTTCTCAGGGGAATGAAGAACGATTGGTTTGTTCAACATTTTACCTCTAATATCGTGACGTCGAATTTCTGAACGCACCATAGAACTGATTGGTTGACCTTTAATTTTATAGTGTCTCCTACCTTCATGTACCTTATTCTTGTTATAAGTTGACAGCATTGTATCACTAAATGTCTTACTATCTGTGTTTAGACAAATTTAGACATGAAATTTGTTAATTGCGAAAAGGAAACTTGACCATGAGGAGAAATCGGTAAGAGTTAGTAAATCAAGGGGAAAGTACGTCGAATAAATATCATGGTGAAATCTTTGTTTATTTATGTTCTAATTGAGTAGAAATTTCGATCGGTGGTCGTTGAAAGAAAAATTCGACAACATGGTGCAAGAGAAGTATCCGTTAGTCAGATCGATGTGAATTGCAGAAAGCGTAAAATGGGTGCATCGTATCATTCGCAGATATCACATTTCATAATAATGATCCGCGTCATCGATTCACTAGACTTTCTAACGCATAGATCCTTTTTTCTTTTAAATAACGTCGACTTGTAAGATTTCTTATTGCGATATCTTTACATAAGGTATTAAGAAGTAAAAGATATCTATTACTTTATACATATTTTTATGAGCAAATCAATTAAATCGGACTTACTCCAATCATTAATTTACATTGTTCGTCCATATTAATGCAGTGTCTCAATTGTTAAAATTACACTGTGAAAGTTAGACAAATGAACTAGGAATTTGTTAGTGTAAGTATAAGTGTTCGTCTACCTAAATTCAGAACCGTTTATTGTTCTTAGAAACAAGTACTATAAGAAATCCTAACCCTTTATGTACTATAAAAGGTGCAACGTATCATTAAAAGTTGTTTAATATATTTGGTACGTTAATAAACGTGTGAATTATTTTCTTTCACTTACCTATCAAATTCCAGCTTAACTTCTTTGTTCCTCTTTTTACTGGAAACGAGATGCTGTCCATAAAATTAAACCGGTTTGAAGATACACTGTAGCTTCGACGTAAGAACATTTGAAAAATTTAAACTGTACAACTATCGAAATTTTACTCGCGATCACTTGTCAGCTTCGGAACAAAATAACTTACAAAACAATTGCAATATAAAACGCACATTCTAATATTCATAATTGTTACACGTTTACAAGATTTTGAAGAACACGACAAAAATTGAACCAGTGCGCATGCACAATTGACCAATAGAAACGAAGACTTTCATTAATCACGTGAGCACAGTTTCAAAATGGCGGCGCGGATTTAATAGCGACAATGGTTGCTTCGCGGCATTCAGTTCAGTGTAAGTGTGCTACAGTGTATGATGATGATGCTGGAACTCGCTTTGCAAATTTTTTTATTATGTGTCGGTCCTTTTATAATCGACGCAAATATTTTAACGAAGGCACAATTTCGAAATGAAAAGGTATATAATGCACGTAATTATCATATTTTTTATCATTTTACCATTTTTATCCAATACTTTCACTTTTCCGTCGCATATTCATCTTCAAAAGTCATATTTCACAATGCATCCCATTGACTATTCTTACATACATCAGTTACAGTCATGAAATGATTCCAGTACTATCATACTCCGACTAAACTATCGAGAAAGCAGATAGTGAAATTGTCAGATCTGTCAAATGTCGATCACATGGACAAAGTTTTAGATAACATATGCGTAGTGAGAATCGTCGGCACACCGGAACATACGAGGGTAAAAAATGTAAGTTCAAATAACACAAATGACAAAAATTTATATAAATGCAGCATATTGCATATTTAATTGTAATATTTATAGCACAATAAAATGCAATTTATTAAAATGATAGTAGTATAACTGCACACAAAAAATGTATAAACATGATGTAATTCAATTCTTAGGGGAATCTTATATTTCCTGATAAGACAAATTATGATTTTCCTTATAGTACATAAAGAGGTCAATGGAAGATCTTGGTTGGACTGTGGAATCTGATAGGTTCAAAGATCAAACTCCTACCTTTGGAACCTTAGAGTTTGAAAATATAATTGCAAAATTAAATCCGAATGCAAAAAGGTATTTGGCATTGGCTTGCCATTATGACTCAAAATATACTAGGGAAAGGAATTTTATTGCTGCCACAGATAGTGCAGTACCATGTGCTCAAATGATTAACTTAGCTGAAGTTATGAAGGATAAATTGAACTCTATAAAAAATGTAAGTAATATACATCTAATAATCTTTTTCTAACTTTTTAGAATATCTTTTTTATTTCCAGAATGACATTAGTTTAATGCTTATATTTTTTGATGGAGAAGAAGCTTTTAGAGAATGGGGTCCAAAAGATTCCATTTATGGTGCAAGGCATTTAGCCAAAACGTGGCACAATAATTATACTACTTATAATCAGGGAGAAAATATTTCTGAACTGGATAAGCTTGTAAGTGTTTAGTAATATAAATTAAAAAACTTACACAAATATTAACTGTTTTTCCTTCATAGGATATGCTAGTTCTACTAGACTTAATTGGTGCACCAGATCCAACATTTTACAATTACTTTAGTAACACAGAAAAATGGTATTCTTTATTAATAGCTATTGAAAGTACATTGGCTTCCTTAAACAAATTTGAGTCATATTCCTATGAACAACCTACACAAAAATATTTTCAACCATATTCTATGGAAGCCAGTATTGAAGATGACCACATTCCATTTTTACACAGAGGTAAATAATAATTTTCGTAAGTATATGAATTTTATGTTTTGTCTTTACTATGAAATGTGTGTTTCAGATATTCCCATTTTACATTTAGTACCATACCCCTTCCCAAAGGTTTGGCATAAACCGAGTGATAATCGTGATAACATCGATTTAAAAACGACAGAAAATATTAATAAAATCCTGAGAATTTTTGTAGCTTCCTATTTAAATATTAAAGTTTAACTGTCAACTGAAAAAATTTTTAAATTGTTATAAAAAATTTTACCTTTATCATGACAGTATTAAGTGATACAAATATACAAGTTCAGTTACAAATATAAACATAACATAATATTTTATAACAAATTTTAGACAAGAGCAAATTTAAAAAGTTGTTTTACAGCCAACTTAGGACAGATTTAATAAATTATATATACATTTTTGTACTATATGTAATCTTTATAAGGAATTATTTTTAAACGAATCAATTTTTATTGTACTTAATGTATCTATTTATATACAAATATATGTATATATTGAAAAATGAGGAATAATATATGTAAATTGTGGAAATGAAATATTAATTTTTTATTACAAATAAAATATATCCATTGTATTATAAGCGAAATAATATCAATAAAAATGCAAGTATTTTCTGGAGTTAATTACAATTGCAAACATCCTTTTAAATGAGCATGGGAAATGAAAACAACGCGGTGGGATATAGTACTCAGGAAATCGATCTAACACGTGACTTCCCGATACATGATTAGAATAAATACTTAAGTATGTCGTTACTGAAATCAAATTTCATACATAACTCTTTCTTTACTCAATGTTATCATTATTTCAAAATTTGTCCATTTCTGTTATTTATAATACACTTTCAAGTCCTACTGTTTCGTATTAAAATATGTGAAAACAACTTATCCTTCTTTAAAATGCAACTGACTTTAAGTTTCAATTTTTAATGCATTTCACATTAAAGTATCACGTATAAAAAAAAAAGTAATAATAAATTACCTTCTTCAAGTACTGCATTAAAAAATTTGAAATTCAAAAAGCGAAGCGCACAATCGTAAAATATTATTTCCATGAACGTAACGGTCAGCGATGGAATCGAGTGAAAGTGGGTATTTGGTCGTGTGGTTTGGCAGGCCTGATCGAGGTCATTGTTCGTGCGGGCGCGCCCGAGCAGGGCTTTCGTTCCGACATTAGCCGGATATAACCGATTTCTACCGAGCACAGACGAATGTAACCGAAACATGTGATTGGTGGAAAGCCGACGCGACGGCGAAAGACACGAGAGACGCGAGCGACAGACGTGGAATGACTTCACGCCTCTGTCGGGTATTTCAATGGTTTTACGTGTTCATTCGTATCGTAAGTTAGACAGCAGGCTAGGCCGTTGTTCGACCTGTTGTCCACAACCGTTCTCGTGGTAGACCCGAACGATTTTCGCGGAACGTCGGTAAAAAACGCGTAGCGGCTGACACATCGGTCAGGCGGACTGGATTCAGTGAGTGAGCGAAAGAGAAAGAAGGAGGAGAGAGAGTGCGGGAAAGGGAAAAGGAAGGAAGGAGGAGGATACGGCGTGAAAGACAGGGACTGACGTGTTGCAGGCGTATATCGGACGTGTGCGGTCGAACACACCGACGAAAATACGTATTGCGGTACGGCGCGCGAGTTTTACCGTTCATTCAAGAATGTTTTAAATCACGGTTTGGTGTTCGCGGTCCTACCGAGCCCTTCGTGACGGCAGTGATACGTCGTGGCCTTTTACAACTGAGGATTAACCGTTTTCAACGGACGTGTCGCAAACCGCCCGACGAGGAAACAAACGCCGACAGAGATGTTGAAGTTTATCAGAGGGAAGGGCCAACAACCTACGGCCGAGCGACAGAAACTGCAAAAGGATCTTTTCGCCTTTCGAAAGGTAGGTCTCCGATTAAAGGTTCGCCCACACCCGAACCGGCGAAACGCGCCCCGACACTTTCTTCCACCTCGTCCCGCTTTTACACGGGGACACTATTTTTTTTTTTCTCTCCACACGTCGCGATTATTGAAACAGATTAAATTTACCGTTTCTAGGAAACAATGTTATCGTGTACGATGTATTTAGACGTCGTAATATCGTAGTTCGCAGTTTCAATGGAAAGCGGATAACTTCGATGCAACTGAGGAAAAAGTGTTTTGTACCGTTTTCTTTATTCATCGCCGGGGAAAAGTGAGTGTGAGCATTGGGGCAAACTCGTTTTCATTTGAAAAGAATGGAAAATTGTAAAAAGTTCCGTTGCTTCTGTTTTGACTCTTTTGTGCGGTGAATTTCGAGGCTCTGAAAAGGATACTGCAGACTGTCCAACGATTTTCACTTTCTTCCAGCGGTTTATCATTTTACGCTTCGATAGTTTCTTCCATATATTTTTAACATTGTAATAAGAGAAAAAGTGTAGAGAAGTGTTCGTGTTGAAGAGTTGATTTTCGATAAACGACGTCAGGGGTTAGTTTTATCAGCTACGTATCGGCTCTTAAAACAGACCGTTCCTTCGTCTTTTTCCGTTTTATTTACACATTCATTATTTATAAGTCAACAGGCTTGCAATTGAAAGTTTATTCTGTTACCACGTCAGATAGTAATCTGTTCCTTCGTGATATCACGATGTTGACACGCGATGCGTTTTACAGAACATGAGTTCCTTTTATGCGTAAGCTCTTCGATCGTTTTACAGATAAATCTCATCTTCACCGAAAAAAAAAAAAAATGGAAAGAAAAAGTCGAATGTTGAGAAGACAGCGAATATCGCATCTCAAGGAGATCCATAAATACACGGTGATATAATTCGAATATAATCGAGAGAAAAAAACCTGTCCCGAATTAACTCCCGATAAAGAGAAATCAAACGAATCCGACTTCGATTCGACTTTATCGAGCGCACGCGTTTAACACGCGATAAAACATGCCACGGTTTGTCGTTTCTCACAGGTTACTGACGGTTACGAGTGACCGGTACATAAATAACCAATAAACCGTCAATTCGTACGACATATCTAAACAAGCCTTTAACATCCATCGCACAAAATTCTACGCACCTTTCATTTTTTCTTTTCAAACGATTAAATAAATTCACGCTGTTGCTATCTATCGATTTAAAAGGAGCGTTGCGAAACACTCGTGTTCGTCGATCAACAGCAACATCCACGCTCTCGTACCTTAAAGGCTGCTTTCATGGTGAAAATATTAAGATTCTAAAATCAACCTCTCCTCCGAGAACATGATACAGCGTGTTTTAAGAATGAACGCCGCGGAATCAACAGGTCAATAGCCGAACGTAATCGATACCGAAAGTCTAGAAGACGTCGGGCTGCCTGAGACACACGGTGCCTAGTCAGGATTATTGTGGTTGTGCGGTGCGGTGTGGTGCGTTTCTTTAGCGGTTCTGTCTCGGCTGCTGGCTGTCATCGTCGCCGGCCATCGGGTGCACCGTCGCGAAACCTTATCGCGGTTTAATTCTCCGCCGGCTGGATTCGAAGTTTGACGACACGGATTGCGAAAACACACGTCGCGTGCAAATCAGGTCGTGCTGGCTACGATCGATGAAACACGACGATTTTTCCGCGGCGCACTGGCAAATCCCGCCGAACCGTTGCAACTGAAATTGCATCCCTCCTCCCGCTGGTTCCCTTCGTTCCGCTGTACTCCATATGACACGGGGAACGTGCGGGTACGGAATAGACAATAGGAACGTTCCACTGAGTTTGTAAACGTGCATACTGTACTTACGTACGTTACTTTCGTTCGGCCGGGAAATGAAATAGGAAATGTAGGTTAATCTGTAGGTTAAGCAATTAGAGGCAGAAGTAGCGCGCTCTGCGCGGTAAGATGGTACGAGTTGGAATAAAAAAGTAGAAAGCCCTCGGTGAAGTGGAGGGTTGCCTGTTGCCTTAATTGAAGCCGTGACGTTTACGCAAACCCTGTTTATGCTGCAGTTTGGAACGATCGAAAACCAAATGACAGTCGGTTAGAGATTACATCATTGATTGTTGCTATTTTGTCGTTTCATTAGGAATGGGCGTGGAATGGCTATTTAAAAAACCAAGAGTCACCTTGGAATCTTTTGGTATTGGTCAGTCATCAGAAGATGAAGAATCGATTGCGTTAATCTCACATAGTGATTATTTCGGTGATATTCATCTTTCTTCTGCCATTGATATTATTGAATTATTCTATCGACAATTCCACGTACGCTTGTGCTACAAAGGAAAGGAGATACGAGAAAAGATATCGGTTTTCTGTGCAAACAAAAATACGATAAGATGTCTAGCCCTTTTTACGTTCGCTTTAATATACGGGCAAGAATGTACCGTTAGGCACGGCTGGTTATACCTACGCGTACTTACTAGCATACACAGATTATTTCGAAAGTTTTAATATAAATTAGCATTAGTACAAACATATTATTTATGAAAAATATATATTTACATATTTATTTTTTTTATATCATGTAAATAATATATTAAATGAAATATCTGTTCCTCCATAAAGTGCATACGTCCATTTGTCTGTCAAGAAATATTCCGCAGTACCCTGAAGATTGTAGAAAAGTACGTATAGTACCAACATAAAATATGTACGTAGAAGAAATGTCACACCGGGGTTATCGATCGAGCAATAATTTTTAACGTTTCCAGGAATAAAATTAGATCACCCAGCCCGATCGAGTGTTTGTTTTATTAAAAAGAAGTGTGAAGTTTCTAATTATAGATCTACCGTTATCGTAACCGTCACTAAGGAAAATAATATACGAGGACTGTAAATCTTGCAAAGCTTTCGATCGATCTGTTAATTTCGTCCAAGTCGATAAAATGAGCAAGTCTCGAACTAGTAATTTTTTCTCGTGAATGTGTCTATAAGCAAGGGCACCACTTGATCGATGCTCGGTTAATGTTACTCCTAGTAGAGGTTAGGGCTGATCAAGATTAAGCTAAAATTAAGGTTAGGTTGGATTATGCCCTACTGGGGGAATCCTTTGTTGTGTTCGTGCCGACCCGTGCTTGTGCGCCTTCTTGCTTTAATTTTCGCGATTAACCCTCCTGAAACTCAGAAGCGGTGACACCTTTTTTCATAGAAATTACGCGGGCCAAGGTCTCGCCGCATCCCTACTGTACCGACGAACGTCCATTTTTCTAATCGCGTGGTGGAAATGCGTGGCAAATCGATATTATGGACAGCCCTTAATCTTGGG